CCTGGCTGTCCCTCATGGCCCCCAGGGTATGCTGGATGGAGAGGCTGCAGCCCTGGGGGAGGCTGTGGGTCTAGGGGACTCATGGGGGCCCCTGGAGAGTGCCTGAAGAAGGGATCTCATAGCTGGAGCTTAATGGATATGCAGGAGCTCACCAGGCATTCACTGGCACCCCCCTGCAGGTTCTGAGGACCTCTGTGGCTACCACAACTGTGTTGGGACAGGCAGGGGTCACGGGTGACTCCGAGACTCTGGCCAGGCCTGGGCCAGGCAGCTGCTCCTGCCTCTGGCTTGTGTGGCTTCAAAATTTCCATCTTCCTGCCTCAGCCTCTCGACAGCTGGGTCACGTGGAGTTGCCCTACTATGTAGGTTGTGTTTCTGGTGGCCTTGGCTGTGACATTCGGTGCTGTCGTGGACAGGGACAGGCCTGGCCCAGAAGCCCGGCTGACTGTCTTGTCCCAGCCCCAGCCAGGCACAAGGTCCCCTGAGCCCCTTTCCTGGTGATACTGAGCTGGGTCCCCATCAGGTCTGCTGGCTCTGGAGTCCCCAGCCCAGTGCTGCACGCCTGTGGGCCTGAAGCCTAGGGTCCTATCCTGGCAGCTTCATCCAGGGGGCTGGGGAAGAGTGAGTGACACGGTCCTGCCTGGCCTGGACTCCCCAGCCCTGCCTGCTGTGCAACCACAGCTGCTGGAGTCCACTCGGACCTTGGCCTTGTCCTGTACCCAGGCTCCCCAAGAGACAGCTTTGGGGAACCTGCTTCCCCAGCAGAGGGGCTGACAAGGGCAGAAGATGGATGGGTGTGAGGTGCACGACTGTGATCCCAGCTACTTGGGAGGCTGAGGCAGGAGGGTTGCAAGTTCCAGCCAGCCTAGCATGGGGAGCCTGTTGACCTACCAGAGACCCTGTCTCAAAATCAGTAAGCAAAGGGCCCCAGGTAAAGTCCGGTTGGAAGGCGTTGGGCTTTATCCCCTGCAGAGGGGTGGTGGGGTAAGGTCATCCTCAAGCTCTGTGGCTACAATCAACTGCGTGTTTCACAAAGCTGCTGGACAGGGCTCAGATGACTCCAACAGAAATGACCATTGACTGAGGTGATGGACCTGCTGGAGACCCTGGTCTGCCACACATATTGCAGCTATGCATTGAAATGTCACCCCTGCTGGGTGTCCTGGCCCTCAGGAGGCTGAGACAGGAGGATCACTTAGAGTTTGAGGCCAGCCTGGGCCATACAGCAAGACCCTGACACACAAACAAACAAACAATAAAAAAGTGAGTAATCATCCCAGATGTGGTCCTATGGGGCTCAGCTTTTTGCCCCATCTGGTGTTGGGTTCCCTGTCTCAGCACCCATGTGTGGGGCCATGGATGAACTTCTGGACGTGATGGGACCCCAGCTGTGTTTTGTCATGTGTAATGCCTGTCCCACATTGCAAACTTTACCTTATCAGGGGTTTACAAAAGGTGAGTTTTTTGACACAGGGTCTTATTATGCAGTCTGTGCTGGTCTAGAGCTCACTTTGTAGTCCAGGCTGGTCTTGAAATTGCAGCAATCCTCCTGCCTCAGCCTCCCAAGGGCCAGGACAAAGGGCATGCAGCCCCAGGCCTGGCAACTATAGGTTTTGAAAAGCAGATGGCTGGCGACCTTCTTTGGAGCACAGTGGCCTGAGTGGAAGCTGTTGGCTGTGCCTCTCTATCAGTGGCAGCTCCACCCCTAACTCTACAGTGAACTCTTACTCATCCTACAAAACCTAGCTCTGGCATCCCTCCCTGGTCACAATCCCCCTGGACCTCCTAGGAAAGCCTGGCTTAGTCTCTGTCCCCTGTGGTCCTGGCCAGGTAAGGTAAGAGGGAACAGGGGATGATGGGGCACTAACTTAAGGAGCGCCAAGAGGATGAGTTTCCTGTGGTGGTGCCAAGCCAGGCACCGCCAGGACTTTGTGGATGAAGCACAGAGGGGCTTGGGACCCAAAGCTTGGGACACGGTGGTGGGTAGGGTGGGGTCATCTGCACTTGCTGCTGTCACATGGTGTCCACAGGTGGCCTGCATGTCACCATGTCACATGTCCCATATGTGGCACATAGTGCCAGCATCATCGAGGCCCCTGGACCCTTGGCGTGACCTGGTGTGGCCTGGGGTGACCCTCAGGATCTCCCGCCCCACACCCAGTGCTCGGGAGTAACTGGAGGGCTCTTTTCTGCTTTGTACTTTTTCCTTTTAGCTCTTGAACTGAGCCACGGAGCGCAGCTCTGGCCCTTTCACAGCGTTGTTAAACCTCTGGGTCCTCCACAGTAGCCCTGGTGGGTTTGAAACTGGGATCTTCCTGCCTCGGCCTCCCAAAGTGCCACGAGGTCAGGAGCGCGCTGCCCTGCAGGACGTGAGCTCTTCCCCTCCCCACGTCTGGGGCCCCTGAGTCCCAGTCGCCAACCAGAGCAGAACCTGGAGGGCGGGCAATGCCCAAGGAAACCCAGGGAACTCAGGGCCCAGTCCCAGTCTCGCGCGCCCCCTGGTGGCCGCTCTGCACCTGTGTGAGGCCCCCGTCAGTCAGTCTGCCCTGCAGGGAGGTGGTGCTGCCGGTTCCTCAGCTTGGGGGTGGAATCCAGGGCTGCACCCAGCTGCGCTCCCAGGCTCTTTACTTCTTATTTTGAGCCAGTCTCGCTCTGTTATGGGCTCCCGCTTGTGAACCCTCTTGCCTCAGCCTCCTGGTTACAGGCCGAGTCAGTGCCCGCCAGCCTAGCTGGCATCACGGTGGGGTTGCTGCACCTATGTCCCATGCCGTGCGCAGCCTCAAGTGCTCCAGTGCCCTCTGTCCCCAAAAGCCAGACTGTGTCCCCACAGGGATCACAGCTTGATTCCCATTTCAGATCCTGACTCAGTTCCCCCAAGTTTATCTGGCTCTTCATGACTTCTCCCTTGCCGACAGGAAGGGCTCACACCACCCTTTCCTGGGGCTGCGGCAGGCAGTGTCCCAGGAACGAGGGAGACAGCAGTCGGGAAGGGGATGTGGCTCCGAGGCCAGTGAGGTCCCCGTGGAGGAGCAGGAGCCCTGTCGCGGTCAATTGCTCTCTTTTATGCTTTTTAAAGATCTATGTCTGAGTGTGGTGGCGGACAGCTGTAATCCCAGCGCTGGGGAGGCTGAGGCAGGAAGATCACTTACAGTCCGACCTTGTCTCAAAAAACAAAAACATTAGGGGCTGGGGATTTAGCTCAGCGGCATAAGCGCCTGCCTTGAAAGCAGGCAGTTGTGAGTTTGATCCCTGGTACCGATAAAAAGGAAAAAGACCAAAACAAAAAACCCCAAAAACATTCTTGCAGCGCTGTGCCCAGTCTGAGCCTTTGGCACGTGAGGCGCACACAAGCAGGGCCACGGCGTCCTCAGGTCTGCAGCGAAGTCTAACCATCGGGGCCGGAGCCCCCTTTTTATTCTGACTGGTTCCTCAGCAGGTTTTTGGCTTTACTCACCTCGTGTGCTTCACTGATTTACTTAGTGGTGCTGGGGATGGAACCCAGAGCCTTGTGCATGCAAGGCCAGAGTGCTACCGCTGAGCCCAGCCCCTCCCTCACCTTTTAAAAGAACCAGCTTATGCAGGTGTGATGGCATGCGCCTGAGGCAGAAGGAACACAAGTTTGAGGCCAGCCTAGAAATTCAATGAGACCTCAGAATAAAAAAATGACAGGGGTGACAGGTGTGCCCAGCATTGCCCAGGTGCTGCTCCCAGCACCGGAAACCAAAAGCAGCCGCCTACCTGATTTTCTCAATTCTACTGGTTGAAAGTCTTCTGTTTCTTTGCATGTATTATCCCCTCACTTTTGTTACTGAGGATTGAACCTCGGGGCTTCGCACTTGCCAGGTAGGTGCTGTGCTGCTGAGCTACACCCCCGGCCCCTACCCCCCACTCTGTGTTTTTTGAAAGTTTTTCCTTTTATTTCTAATTTCTTCAGATAAACACTTAAGTTGATGCTTTCTCCATATATATATATTTACCTTTTTAATGTCCTCTTTAGCCATCTTTTAGGTTGTTTTTCACTTTAAAAGTCACTGTTTTGGCTGGGTGTAGTGGGGTATGCCTGGATGCCAGCAGTCAGGAGGCTGAGGCAGAAGGGTGACTGTGAGTTCAAGGTCAGCCTGGGCCACATAGTGAGTTCAAGGCCTGAACTACATAGTGAGACCTTGTCCCAGTAAGGCAAAACACTGCTTTCCTCTGAACACTTGGGTGTCACACCTGCTTTAACTCTGTTACAGATTTACTAATGAGACCAGATCTCCCTCTGTTCTGGCCCCACCTAGCGACCCTCCTGCCTCTGCCTCGCAGAGCAGAGTGCCTGCCTCAGGCAGGCTGTCTGCAGCCATGACCCCCACCCCACCCTACTCAGAGCCCAGTCCCCATTGCTCACCCGGCCCAACGAGGTCACTTATGCCGAGTCCCCCAACAAGGGCCTATGCACCTGTGCACCCTGCGGTCACAGCCCGCGTATTCTTCCTCCTCACTGTAGGGCCCTAGAACCAGGTGGTGCCCGCCTCCCAGTTCTTCTTGCCTTGGCCTCTCAGTGGGACTCAGGACTTGGCACCCCCTGCGCCATGCCAAGCCTCCACTCCCCCACCCTCCGTGAGGTTACATGGGCATCTCGGGCCTCGGGCGTAGTCCGAGCGCAGCCCTTGCCCCCGCAAGAGTTTTGCTTCGGTTTTTTGAGATGAGGTCTCCTCATGCAGCCCAGGAGCCCAGGCTGGCCTCAAAACTTGCGATGACCTTCCTGTCCCTAAATCCTGAGACAGGTACAGGTGAGCTGCCTACTTGTCCAGGCTGGGCCCAACCCAAGAGCCTCTCGACTCAGCCTCCTGAGTGCGTGCTGGGGTCACTGAGGTCGCCTGGCGCAGGCTCTTGCTTGTTCCTGTGGGGGTGGGGGGGGGGCAGGGCCAGGGCGCCGCCTCAGTCCCCGGGGTGTCTGCGGGCTGCATGGGGTTCGCGTATCCCCGCCCCCCACAAAGGCAGGTGCAGTGCGGAGCGGATTTGTCCATGTCACGTGGATTTAATGTGGCTATCACTCGTGGGTGGGGTAGGGCGGGGCTCAGACCGAGGCTGTCCCTGTAGAGACCGTGCCTGCTGCAGGGGGCCGGGGGCGGGGTCCCGGTGGTCAGGGTGTGGGGTCCCTGGTGCGGTGCGGGGCGGCGGCTGCCAGAGTCTCAGGCCCTAGGTGCGGGCGCAGCAGAACGGTGGCACTGCCGGCGGATGGCCGTGTGGCCTTTGGCATCTGAGGCCATGGCACTGGGGCTGTGTCCCCTCTGGTCTGGGCGTCAGCAGAGGGCTGGAGGGGCCCAGGGCGGCGGCGGCGGCAGCAGCTGGATGCAGGCAGGGCTGCCTCACTGGGTCCGAAGCTGGTAGTCTGGGCACCAGGCAGAGCAGGTCAGGTCAGGGGGCCTCAGCCCTGGGCCCTTGAGCATGGGGGAGGGAGAGGGGAAGAAACGGGAGGGGTGAGGGTCCCTGAACCCAGCCTGGCCCTTACCTCCATTCTGCGTGATGTAGCGCACCCAGGGCAGCGCCTGGTAGCCGCTCTTCTCGATGATCTTCAGGTAGCGTACCTGGATGCCAGAGGTGGTGAAGTAGGGGATCTCGAATTTGACGCTGATGGGTGGCTTGCCCTCCTTGTCCTCCGCCTCCACGCTGGGCAGCCCGAAGTGAGCCCGCATCAGGTACTCCTTGCCGCCCTGCACACAAGGCTTGGTCAGCACCACCCCTGTGTCCCGCCCTGCAGGCCCCGGAGGGGCCAGGCATGTCCCCCCCAACCCAGCCAGGGAGCCCAGCCTGGGCCTCTTGGCCAGATCCTGACTCAGGGAAGGGGCTCAGTCCCTGTGCCACCAGAGAAAGAAGGGAGAAGAGCGCTGAGAAGGTCACTGTAGCCCCTCGCAGACTGAGACCCTGGGTGCTGGCCCCTACGCAAAAGCCCCATGTGACAAAGCCAGCCAGGATCTGGCCGTGGCCTGGGGAAAGCCAACTCCCCATGGGAACTCGGCTGCAGGCACCGCAAACCTGTACCACCAGAAATAAAGCTAGGAAGGCCAAGAAGGCAGCCAACGCACGGCCTGTGGTGAGCATCTGCCCATCAGGAGGGTGACACAGTTCCACACCCAGCTCTGACAGAAAAAGGTGGAAAACCTGGGTGTGGAGATGCGCACCCATTATCACAGATGTTTGGGAGGCTGAGGCAAGAGGCTCTGTCTTGAAAAATAAAAAGGCCCGGAGACTTAGCTCAGTGTGAGAACCTTGGGTTCCATCCCAGTTACCAAAACCAAATTACAAAAAGCAAGTAAGTAAGCAAAAGAAAATACACTAAAGGCCAGGTAAAGTGGCGCACACCTGTTAATCCAGCACTCAGGAGGCCAAGGCAGGACGGGTGCTGTGAGTTTGAGACCAGCCTGGGCTACAAACTGAGCTCAAGGCTAGGCTGAACTGCACAGCAAGACTCTGTCTCTAAAAGACTTAAAAAAAAGAAAGAAAGAAAGAAAGAAAGAAAGAAAGAAAAGAAAAGAAAAGAATGCAGGCCCAGTTGGACCCTGGGCCCCAGCAGGCCTCACCGGGAAGGACTTGATGGACCACACGATCTCGCTGTTCTCGGGCACCCACTTGACGCTGCCCACCGTGGTCTTGAACTTGGGCGAGTCGGCGTCGTTGGGCACCGGGATGTGGATCTCCACGTTGTTAGCGGTAGAGCGCCGCTTGAACTGGCTTTTGGCCTGCAAGGTGGAGCGGGGGCGGTGGGCGGAGCGACGGATGCCCCGCCCCCAGCCCGCTCCTCCCTAAGCCCCGCCCCGCCCACCTTGATCATGTACTCGATACGGCTATGTGAGTGTTTCTCGATCACCGACTCAATCCAGATCAGTGGCTTCACCTACGTGCACGCAGAGAGTGGGGGCTCAGCGGCTGCCACTCTGTCCGCCAACGCCCACGCCGCGCCCATCCCGCGGACCCTCGGCCTCACACTCACATGTGTGTTGAGACGGTAGGACATGAGCTCGAACTCGCCATCAGGAGGGATGAAGGAGATGGTGCGGTCGTTCTCAAAGCGCGACAGCCGCACGCACTGGTGGAACTTCACGTCCTCCAGCTCCACCGACTTGCTCTTGCCGCCTGGGGACAGGTGCGACGGGTGGCGCGGGGCGGGGAGGGGGCACCCTGGCCCCCCCCCCCCCCCGTGCCCACTGCACTCACGGCCTGTGTTGTCGAAGAGAACCTTGTCGTTGAGGCCTAGACGCAGCTCCGGCATGCCTGACAGGAAGACCCGCATCTTGATGGAGCCCACGATCTCACTGCGCAGCACGTTGCCATTGGCACTGACCTGGGCGGGGCGGGCAGTGGCCCTGCTCAGCTGCCTGGACCCCCATCCCCTCGTCTGGGGCTAGAGCCCAAGGTCTCTGCACCAAGCCATACCCTAGCGCTTTTTATTCTGTCCAGGCCAGGATGGAATTTGGGATCCTTCTGGCTCAGCTTCCCAGGGTGCTGGGACGCCTAGTGTGCCCTACCGCGCTGGGCTGGGCCATCCTGCCCCTGCCGTCCTCCTCGGAGCAGCCCCTTCCCCAGCTTCTACCTGCAGCTGCGTGGGTGTCTGGCTGAGGTCTTCAAGCTGCACCCTGCCAGTCCTCACAGTGGGGCAGATGCGTTTGCCCCCCCCCCGCCCCCCCCGACGTCACACTCCGGACCCCTGTTCACCAGCTGCTGGAATCTCAGGATCATCGCCAGGTGAACACGGACACCAGCCAGCCCAGTGGCTGCCAACACCAGGCAGACACAGTGGCCAGGTGCAGGACAGGACAAGAACATGGGGTCACTGTGTGGGGGCCAGGCAGATACTGCTAGGGGTCGTCACTGAGCCCACTGCCCATGCCCACGGAGGACAGTCAGCCATCCTGCAATGCACCCTGGAGCCGCCTTGCCAGTGCAGCGCACCAGGCCCAAGCCCTGAGCTTCCCAGTCAGGCAGGAAGCAGCCAGCAAGGTGCGGTGCTGGCAGAGCTCAAGCACCCACTGCATCCCCCATACACCCCCAGGTGGGGAGGACCCCCTTGTGTCTGGAAGGCTCAGGGGCCACATGAAGTCACTGCACATGTGCACAGCAACCAATTCCAAAGCATGCAGGACAGGACGGAGGCCATGGGCACAGACTGAGCAGCACCCTGCAACCACCAAAATAAACTCATGCTGGGCAGAGGGACTCCACAGCTGTGTGTTGACCACAGAGAAAGGGCTGGTGGCGACTGAGGGCTCTGCAGGGAGCCTCCAGTCTATGCCGGTCTGGCACATGTCTGGGGGTCTCAGCACTCTGAGAGGCTGAGGCAGGAGGATTCTGGGTGCAAGACCAGCCTGGGCAACTCAGCAACTCGGTGAGACCCAGTCTCAAAAAGTCAAAAAAGGCCAGTGATACAGCTCCCTGTGAAGGCCCTGTGTCCTGTCCCCAGGGCTGCATAAACAAGAAAAGATCTGCTCTGTCCAACAGGGAGGAAGTCGCTACAAAGTGAATACAGGCTTGGGGACCCGGAGATAGAGGACTCAAGGGAAGAGAGAAAGCATGAGACCAAGACCCTTGCGGCATGCAGCACCCAGCACCACCATGAGGCAGGCAGAGGCCAAGGTGGGGCGGGGCAAGGCACCAAAGTGCACCCTGGAAAGCCAGGGAGGCTGGAGACTGAGGGGAGAGCCAGGGTCGGGGCTGAGTGAGGCGGCCTGTGTCATAAGTGGTACCTGCTCTCCCATCAGGCTGGGGTCTTAGCCACTGAGAGGACTCACACGTGGGGTTGGAGGTGGGAGGCAGGGATGCAGGGGGTCCCCCGATGGGGACTCAGGACAGAGCCACCTCAGCCATGCATCCTAGGGCCTGGCTGCTGCCAAGTCCCTTCTCAGCCAGTGCTGGTCATGGACGCTGGCGGAAAGTCAGCAAAAAACCCACGACAGGACACGCTGTCCCTTCCTCCACTGTCCTGGGGGCTGAACTCGGGCCCTGCCCTAACACTGCCCAGGCTGCTGACACAGGTCGAGTTCAGTCACCAACACGCTCAGGCTGGGCTGTGATTGAGGCCCTGTCTGCCTGCCTCAGCCTCCTGGGTGCTGTGACGACACGAGCAGGTTCAGGGGAGACCTTGGGGTTCACAGGCCGCCTGGGAGCCTTGGTGCGGGCTGTGATCAGGGAGATCCCAGATGGCCGCTCTGGTCAGGGTCCGCTCAGGGCACTGCGTCTACTTTGTCTCCCAGCCAGAGCTGCAGGGATAGGGGACCTTCACCCCAGGGCGGCCATCAGGAGGGGTGGGAAGGAGGCTGCACTTAGCACCAGCCCTCACCCTCGTGTGTCCACATGCGCAGAACCAGCAGACACTTCTTTTTCCTTGGTGCCAGGAACTGACCTTAGGACACTGTGTCCGAGCTGTACCCTGGCCCTCGAGACAGTTCTTCGGTTCTTTGTGCCCTCACCTGGCTTTCAGCAGAGCGAGTGGGTGGAACTGGTGCCCATGGGAATTGCTAAAGCAGACACCCTGCCTGTGGCCTGGACAGCCTGCTATCACTGTTGGCTGAGGACTGAGTCTCAGGGTGGAGGAGGACCCCAAACCACAAGCTGCCTCCTTGAGCTCGATGTGTGTGATGTCTGCCTCCCCATCTGCGCACTGCAATGGCACCGCTGCCCCCTTTCTCGACAGTTACTAAAATCTGGTCTGGCCCTGGGTGGAGGCCCCGTTCAGCTGAGCCTTGTCCTTGCTGGATCAAGGCCCCTGGGTCCCTGGCATTTGCAGACATGTGTCTCATCCTTTACTCTCACTGAGGGTCCCCTGGGGTTCTCACTGGCGTCCCAGTGACTTTCCCTGGATGACAAATGGGGGCCCTCCATATCACAGCCAGGTCCATGAGGGTTTCCCATAACTTGGGGCCCGCAGCTCTCTGACAGCATCTCCAGGAGCATCTGGAGGTGTCTGAGCCAGAAAGGGGATCTGGCTACAGAAGGCAGATGCCAGGCCAGCAGTGCTCAGAACTGACTTCTGATCCCTGCCCGTGGCCTTGGCAGTGGGGCAGTGGGGAGGACAGGCTAGAGACAGCAGCAGGAGGCGATGAGCTCCAACAGCACCCAGGTAACCACGGGTGCCAAAAGCTGACCCTGCCAGGCATGGTGACGCATGCCTGGGAGGAGGCTGGCACAGGAGGGTTTCAAGTTCCAGCCCAGCAATTTATTGAGACCCTGTCTCAAGAAATATTAGCACAAGGGCTGGGGATGTAGCTCAGTGTAGAGCTGGGGCCACCTTATGGAGGCCCTGGGTCGGAGCCCAGTGCTGTGGAATGGTCAATCCACCGAAAGAAGATATGTCCCCAGTTCTGGTTAACTGCTTTCAGAAAGTAAGAGAAGGTACTCTTCCCAGCCCATTTCCCAGGATGCCAGCACCCATATGGCTTACTCAGGCACCTCACAAGACTCTGCCAAACCCCAGCAAATGATCCAACAGCATGCTCTGGACAGTAGCCACCAGGGCCGGGCACCTCAGAGTGCACACCCTGCCTTGGGTGGACCCCTGGGCCCGATGGAAAACACAACCTCAGCAGGAGGCAGGTTGAGGCCTTGCTAAGGGTATGGACCTCTGTACCCTAGGAGGTCACCAGCCAGAGAGTGGGGACACCTACTCACAGCATCAGCAGACCCCAGGCCCCATCTCGAACCTAACAGCACAGGTGCCCGGCAGAAACTGCGGCACATGCTCATAGACGCGCACATGCCTTCCAGTGTCAAGGACTCTGGGCGGCAAACCAATGCTCTGCTGGCTGTCACCTGAGTGGCTGCTGCCGCTCGGGCCAGTGGACCCCAGCATTCCCCGGGGGGTGAACTGCAGCACCTGGGAGGACTGCATGTGCTCTGCTTTCCCGACTCCTCACGTGGTCACTGGCCTCAAAGTGGCCTTTCCTGGGCTGGACACAAAATGTGCCACGCCACAGGGTGGGGTCTGATTTTCACAAAAGTGCAACTGGTGTTGGGGACAACTGCAAAAACCTATTTCATACCCAACCTGGCTTGTATAGACACCACGTGCTTTGTGTAAGTTTAGCTCAGCACTGGCACAGATCTGAGCACAGGTCCATAGAGCTTTCCAGATCTACAGGGGCCTGGTGGCTACCTCCTCCTGGTGCCAAACAGTGCAAGCAATCCCAAAAGCACTGACAGCTGGAGTCCACCAGCCCTAAAAATCTTTGCTCTACAAAAGATGCTGCTACCAGATATGGTGGTGGATGCCTGTAACTCTTGAACTTGGGAGGCTGAGGCAGGAGGACTTCAGGGAGTTCAAAGCCAGCCTGAACTGCCTAGTGACAGCCTGTCCCAAAACACAAAACAAAACACGATACAAAACACTTACTATGAATAAAAAAGCAGACTTGCAGATCACGTATCTGGTGAAGATTGCTGTCTGGAATATCTAAAGAGCTCTCAGGGCTCAGCAGTGAGAACACAAATGACCCAATTTAAAGACACCTGGAAGACACCTGAACTCTCAGAAGCTGGAAAGTGAGGAGACCCCGATATGGAAACTCAGGCACGGGTGCTACACACCGGGAGGCCCGGGAAATGGGACGGGGTGGGGTGGGGGGCTCAGGAACACTGGTGCCCAGGGTTCTCTGTTTCAAGATTGCTGCAGGCGCCAGGCACCACTCCTGGCACTCACATCTGTCCATGTCCAACCTGCAGCGAGCACTGCTGCTGGCCTGGCCTGCCTACCCGGAACTGCGCTGTCCTCTGGGGGTGGATGCTGAGCGCCACGGGGCTGGGTCACAGAATGCAGTGCACAGAACAAGGGACATGGCCCCTGTTAGGGCCTGTGTGGCAGGGGCAACCTAGGGCAAAGCTGTGCTGTCCAGGGTGCTGCTGGCCCAGGACCTCAAAGGCCAAACAGTGGGGATGAGGACAGATGGGTGGTGGCCAGGGCTGGTACAGCATAGAGTGGGACAAACAGACAACAAAGAGAAGCCCAAACACAGCCCAAGCAGTGCGACACTGAACCAGGCCTTGAGGCTGGCACTGCGCTCTGTGCCCTCCCCAGGGACTGCAGGGCGAGGCAGCAGTGGGCACCCACCAGGAGGTTGACGGATTCGATGACGTCCAGGAACACTTCATTCTTCCGGTACTTGATGCCCTCCGACCGCCAGGAAACTGCATTGGTGACAGTGGCTGGGGGCCTCGGGGCCCCTGTCTCCAGCTTGTGGCCCTCCTGTGTGATATACCTGGAGGCCTCTGCTCAGGTTAGGGGTATGGGCATGGCTCCCACCCCTGCAACCCCTTCTATGTCAGTAGGCCCCACCTTTGGAGGCCAGAGCCCCCAGACCTGAGACAACAGCCAGGGCCCTCATTTCTGGGATCCAAGAGACAGCACTGAGGGAGAACAGGAAGTGGGCAGGAGCAGGGTATGCTGGGGAACCCCTCCCATCACAGCTACCAGGGAGGCTGAGGCAGGAGGGTCTCAAGTTTGAAAGCAGCCTGGGCCCTCAGCCAGATCCTGTCCCAAGTTTAGTAAAGGGCTGGTGCTGGGTTGAGGGGGGGGGGTGGGCCCAGCAGTGAGAAGGGAAAGGGAACCCGGGCCACTCACTCCTGCAGGATCTTGCTGTCCGTGGTCTGCGGGTAGCCGAAGTCCATGAGCTCGTCCAGCAGCTCGTAGATGATGACGAAGTTGTCGCGGATACTCTCCTCCTCCAGCTCCTTGAAGTACTCAGAGAACACCTGAGGGTGGCCTGTGTGAGTCACTCCCCGGGTGCCCCTTGGGCCAGATGGGTGGGGCCGCAGCTGCCCACAGGCACCTCACCTGTACCACCTTGTAGAGGAAGGAGAACACCAGCGACACGCATGCATTCTTCTTGGACGTGGCAACCACTGCACAGGTGCGTTAAGGAGAGACCATCCCTGATCCTGGCTGGGCCAGTGCTGCCCTGCTCCCTTCCCTGGCCCTGGCAGGCACTGGGAAAACATGGCCCTGCTGCCCCACGGGGACAGCCAGAGTGGCCCCTTCCACTGCAGAAAGCAGCACAGGAACCCAGCACTGGTTCCCAGCAGGTTACTGACACAGCCAGGCCGAGTCTGCCCAAGCTTGTGCCCCGTGGACCGCTGCAGCAGGATCTCTCAGGACAGGAGTCTGTCAGCCAATGGAACTAGGGACTGGGTGTCACCACAGAGGCCCCAGGGCTCTGACCACACACACTGGCTGGCTCTTCCACACCTGGGCATCCAGGCCCTACAGGGCAGTTACGGGGCACCTGGGTGCCAGCCGTGTCACTGTGGTGCTGCCCTCACCCCGCCTTCCATAGAGCAGCCTGGGCACCGGCCACCCCGTGGGTCTCAGGCTGCCCCATCACTGTCTCCTCAGACCCTGTGGCCCAGCTGGGCCCTTGTCTCCTCCCTGTGGTGGCCCCTGCACCCCAGGATGGGCCCTTGAGGGATACAGTAGAGGTTGTTGTGCTTGATCCACATGAACCGCACACCACCATGGGCCAGGATGGGTGACAGCACGCCCTCCTCCTCCTTCTCCATCAGGATGGGCATGAAATGCTCCACCTCTGACATGTCCACGTCCCCACGGTAGTTCCGGCAGATGAGCACCTGTGGGCAGGTGGGAGGTGTTGGCAGCCTGCTCCCTCCTCCCTGCTTGGCTGGGTCTCCCCTGCTCTCTGGGGCTGCAGGGCAGCTCTAGAAGGGAGGCAGTGCATGCCTGCCAGCTCTCCTGGTTGCCAACTGCAGGAACCTGACCGCATGCCATGGCACAGGGACATGGGATCGTTCATAGCCGCATTACTCTTTCACTTGCTCATGGGCACTGGCCCTGGAGCTGGGTGTGGGGGCAGTGGCTCGAGGCTATACCCCAGCTCTTGTTTATTTTGGGAAGGTTCTGGCTAAGTTGCCCAGGTATGGGCAGCCTCCTACCTCAGCCTCCCACAGTGCCACAGGCTGGCCTGAACTTTAAACAGGCCTGGAGGGATGTGGTGGGGCTGGGGGGAGACCTAGGCGGGGCCAGCAGGTGGGACAGAAGCAGGGACCCAGCTCTGGGAAGTAGGGACCCGGCTGTCCCCAACTGTTCCCTTCTTTCTGCCCAGAGGCATAAGCCCCAGGAGGGGGTGTGGACACCCCTGGGAGGTGCCTCCTTCCCTCAGCCACCCTGGGCTGTGCAGTCTGGATGTTCCCCACACCCTGGCCCAGAACATTTTCAACTCGCTTGGTGGCCCGACACCTTCCTGCCCACTGGGATGCCTTGTCCCCACTGTACTGTCACCTGTCACCTTCTCAAACCTGCTTGGCCATCGCGCTTTACCAGGGAGCTTTTCGAAACCTCACCTGTGAGGCAGAGCAACTACTTGCTTGGGGCCTTGGCTGCCAGGGCCATGTGCCTGGCCAAGTGCTCAGTGACATCCCATGCTGTGTCTGTCCCCCAGGAGCTAGACAGGCTCTTGGTACTGTGGCCAGGGTGCACCCTGTCTCAGGGCAGGGAGAGCAGGCCCTGCTAGCAGGTGCACCCAGATGCACAGACACAGTGGCCACCAAGCCCTGCAGGAAAGGCTCGATCAAGGGAAGGGAGGCCAAGATGGGGGGGGGGCAGTGGCCAGGCCAGAGCAGAAGCCCTAGACCCCTCCAGGACAGGAGTCTCCCAGGTCCTGAGGCCTGCACAGGGATACAGCAGTGTGCTACCCAGACCCCTCCAGGACTCCCGAGGAGATATGAATGCAGGGCTTATCTGGCATGGCCAGACCAGTTCTGGTTCCCACAGGGGAGGAAAGACAGTCTCTCAGTGTCCACTAGGGATGGCCTTGGGGGAAGGCAGCTGCCCAGTTCTCAAGGCCTGGACAATTCTTCCTTTAAGGTTTTCTGGTAGGCATGGAGGTTATCCCAGCACTTTTGAGGTTGAGGCAGGAGGACTGCTGAGTTTGAGGTCTGTCTGGTTTACATAGGAGTTCAAGGCCTGCCTGAACTATACACTAAGACCCTGCCTCAAAGAAGAAAAAAGGAAAAAAAGGTTTCGAGTTGTGAGTTGTGCATGGTGGTGCATGCCTGTCATCCCAGTACTCTGGGAAGCTGAGGCAGGAGGGTCACAAGTTCCAGCTCAACCTGGGCAATTAGAGACTTAGCCAGACCCTGTCTCAAATAAAAAATACAAAGGGCTGGGGCTGGAGCTCAGTCCCTAGGGCTGGAAAAAGTTTCTGGGCTGTGGTGGAGCTCGGAGATAGCACACCTGCTTGGCCAGCATGAGATTGTGGGCTAAAGCTCAGGACCAGAAGGAAAACAGCTTGCTCCCTTAAATACCCCGGGCTCCGCGGGTGACACCGGGACCATCTGTCCTTCCTCTAGGAGCGCAGGCCGCTCATACCAGGTCCTCGGGAAAGCACCGCGGCAGCAAACATCTGCTTGTTAAGTCTCCAGTCTGCATCCCGGGGGGACCGACAACACGGGGCAGACGTTCTGCAAATCCCAGCTTCATGCATGGGCGACCCAGGCTGGATTCCTACACCCGCCACTTCTCGCCGCAGCGGTGAGACTTCAGCAGGCTTGGTCGTCGCCGTGCCTCAGTTTCCCCTCGCGCAGCCCACCTCTCCAGCCCGGCGTTTGGAGAAAGGTCGGGAAGCCGCCTCGGGAGACGGCGGAAGGCAGATGGAACAGGCAGCGAGCAGGGCGCCCGCTTGCAGCGCCTGACCGACTGGCCTAGGGACCAAGGGTCGCGCGGGCCCAGGCACGAGAGGGGCGGGGAAGCTGTCGCCGGTTACCTGGCAACAACGAGGTGGTAGCCCCCACGTTACCTAGCAACAAGAAGGGGCTTCAACGCCCAGACCGCAGCCTGCTACCTAGCAACGGAGGAGGCCCTGGGTGAGGCTTCTCCGCCTCCGCGCCTCACGCCAGGGTGGGGCCCCTGGATCGGCTACCTAGCAACAGGGTGTGTCCCATTCAAGCAAGGCCCCAGAAGGTTGCCTGGCAACGGGAAGTGTGGGAATCCCGAGTACCTTGCCCTTCAAGTCCAGCACGTAGACGGCGCTGGCGGACATGGCGACTGCGGAAGGCGCCGGCGGCGCCGAGGGTGGCGGCAACGACTCTCCGCGACCGGCGCTGAGTGAGGCCGGCTCACCCCGAGACACTTCCCTCCACTTCCGGTTCGGCAGCCGCGTGCGGACCGTTATGTCCGGTCCTGGAGGAGCGGCGCGCAGTGCGCAGGCGCCAGGTGAATTTTGCACAGGCGCAATCCCTATTATGTGGCCATATTTTTCGCCCCCTCGAGTACCCCGGAAGCGAGGCGTAGGGAGCTGGGTGGAGCAGGGCGAAGTCTAGAAAGGAAGGAAGGTGGGGCCGCGGGGCAGAAGCCGTGCTCAGCAGCAGTCCCTGTCGGGACTTGTCAGTGCAGCCTGTGCCAGGGAACTGGCTGGGTCCGGGCCGGAATGCGCTTGGGGCTGGTGGGCAGCGAGCCCGGGGGTTGCAGCATGCTGGCCGAGGGAAGTGCCGCGAGAGAGCCGGGGGTGCACCTCGCGGCTCCGGCGGCTGTCCCCCAGGTCGTCAGCGCCCCACTTCCTGCTTTGTTCAACTAAAACGGAGGGAGCGGCCCTCCAGTCCCCCCCCCCCCCCGCAACCTGTTTCCATGGATTAGTGCAAGAGCAAAGAAAGCTCAAGTCCGATTTCACCGGCGGCCAGGGAGCCAAGTGCTGGGATGACGGCAAGGGCCCCAGTCTGTTCCGCACCGAGGACCTACTTGATGGAAGAGTTTTGAAAAAGACTGGCGGTAGCAGGTGGTTTCAGGATGATGCAAGTGCGTTACACTTACTGAGTGCTTTAATTTCTATTATTATTACATTGTAATATATAATGAGGTAATTACACAGCTCACCACAGTGCAGTCACTGGGAGCCTTGAGCCTGCTTTCCTACCGCTAGACCGTCCCATCTGCAGTGACACCGAAGTGTGTTGAGTATGTCCAGCCCACACTGTAATCTCATTTTGGTTGCGGTCACTGCAGAAAACACTGCTTTCCAAAGACAGGACTTTGGAAGAGGAAGTGGGCTGTCCAGTGCTTTTGTGGAAATCTGGATAATCTGTCCTGACATTAATCCAGAACATACGGTGATGTGAAGTTGTCTCAGGTATGTTCCTAAGGCCACTGACATTTGCGGTCTCACAGTTAGTCCACCTAGTTTATTCACAAATAGGTCACAAGTTCATTCCTGCCTATACTGGGGGTCTTTCGAAACATGCCAAAAATGTCACTGTTCACTCATTGGCCCCATAATTCCCGGTTGGCTTTGAATGCAGCTGCTTAACCTGCTAAATTGAGAACAATCACCTCTGAGGTGACTGAATTCATTGCAAAGGTTGACTGCATCACACGAGTAAGGTTTTTTTTTTTTTTTTTTTTTTTTTTTTTTTTTTTTTTAGATCTTTTTATGTCTTTGAACTCAAGCTGCTCCTCTGCCTCAGCCTCCCAAGTGCCAGGATTACAGATGTGTGCCACCACTCTGGACAGAAATTTGAAGATCCATTGTGTGTCACTGAAATGTGCTGATGGTGGGGTCTTCCTGAAGGAAATCTCCAGAATGGCTCTCTGTGCTCATCACTCTGGCTAGGGCCCTCCCTTAGAAAGCTTTCTCCCCTTTGTGTACAACAGATGGCCCCTGTGCTCTGCCTGTATCCTGTTTGCAGGGAAGCTACCACATTAATAGGACCCTTGCTGTTTTCTTCTTTTGGTACTGGGGATCAAACTCATGACCTTGTGCTTGCCAGGCAAGTACTTGTGCCATTAAGCTAAATCCCCAGCTCTTGGTGCTTTCTTTTAAACGAAGCTCTCTTTTTGCTGTAGCCTTAGTCTTCTGCTGTGTCATCCCTGGGTCTTTGCCCTTTTCCAAGTAGCTCTGCTGTGAGGTCCGTGTTTTACTCACTGTGGCTATGGTTAGCTGGTAGACTTCCTAGAACTGTGATGGAGGGCAGAGCACAATTGGGAAAGTGATAGATGCAAGTGCTCAATTAAATAATGGGTGGCCCCTGTGCAGATTAAAAGAAATGTTGGGATAAAATACATTTGGAAGAAAAGTGTTGGCTTATGATTTAGAGCTGTCAACAGATGCAGCTTGACTGTCACTTGCCACTCATCAATGGGGTTTAGAGCTTTCTGTAAGCAGATCTGTCTTGGTTGGTGTGCAGTCACAGCACTCTGCTAATGTTCTGCATTTGCAGCCATTTTCCAGTGCTAACATCACCACCTCAGCCCCACCTCAGATCCTTAGGCATCAGATTCTCAGAGGGTCCTGCAACCCAGAACCCTCTCATGTATGGTTCACAGCAGGGGCCTCACCCTGTGAGAATCTGAAGCTGATCTGACAGTGGGGTGGAGCTCAGGCGTAAGGGGCACAGCTGGAAACACAGCAGGAGCCTTGCTCCACCCACTGCTCACCTCCAGCCACTCAGGCTGCAGATAGGTTGGGGAACCCAATCACCTGCACAAGTCAACTGCAGTCTCTCAGTCCAGGTTGCTGCAGCCTTTTTTTTTTTTTTTTAAACCAATATTTATAAATTCTTCATGTGCATTTTCCGAACTGGAGGACATGGAGAAGACAGCCTTGGCATACTCATGGGTGGTGCTCAGATTGGGTGGTTATTAGCAAACAGGCCATACTCTGCCCCCTCAGAAGCCAGGAACCTCTGCACTGAGGATTCACATCTCGGTGTTCAGCAGTCATGGGTGGGGAGGGCTTTCTTGCTATTTTCTTTGTCCTTCACATGGCAGCTGTAAACAAGCATTCTGAGGAGGCCTGCTGCATGCAGTGGATTCTGCTTCCATCTCTTGCCTTGTGCCTAACAGCATATTTTGGTCACTGTTGCTCTGAAGTAAGTTTCTCCTGTGCCAATCTAATACGCCCTGCTGTGCCAGAAAGCTAAGCTGAGGTCAGGGCAGCTGGGAAGAAGGGGCTTTATGGTTCCTACTTAGGCCCCCCACTTTCAAAGATACTTTTAGTAAAAGCCAGTATGGCCATCTTTCCAAAGCAGTGAACATCTCTGGCTCCAGCTATTCTGGCTTGCAGCCAGCGTTGGCAATTTAGTGAGATCCTGTCTCAAAAAATAAAAGGGTTGGGGTGCAGGAGGCCCGGGCTCCAACTTGGCAGTTTCTCTCTGCCAGGCCCCACCACCTTTACTATTATATTCTCCCTGGATGCTGAGCTGCATCCCACCCCTTTGTGACACAGGGTCTGGCCATGTCATCCCAGTTGGGCCCAGCCAATGCCACCTCCTGGCACCCGTGTCCATCTATAGTTCCTCCCAGGCCCTGGGTTCAGCCAAAGTTGTTTTTGTGACAGCCTCTCGCTGTGCAGCCCAGCCTAACCTCGAACTCTAAGCAATCCTCCACCTGCGACCAGCGCTTGTCACCCCTGCACTCTGGGAAGCTGAGACAGGGGGATCAGAAGTTCAAGTCCAGGGCTGGGCATAAGCACCTACCTTGCAAGCAGGCAGTCATGAATTCGATCCCTGGTACCGATAAAAACGAAAAAGACCAAAAAAAAAAAAAAAAAAAAAAAAAAAAAAAAAAAAAGTTCAAGTCCAACCTGGTGACTTGGCAAGACTGTCAAAATGCAAAAGGCTGGGGATGTGGCTCAGTGCAAAAGCCATGGACTCCATCCCCATTAAACAAAACCAACCTTGCCCAACCCTTCTAAAAAGGTTCCTGAAGAATTCCTGACAGTGAGCTGATGCAGATAGATGGGTAGAGCATCCCAAAGTCAGAATCCAAGACCCCCCAAAATCCCCCACTTTCTGAGCCCTGACGTGATGCAAGTGGAGAATCCCACACTCTGGAACTGATCCACACACGAAATTATGGAAAATATTACAAAAAAACCATGCCACATCTGTATCCCAATTCACCACAATAATGTATTTATTACATACTACAGAATATGCTAATGAAAATATTCATGAAAGAACTTGAGGCTTGTGAACTCAGGGGCATGTCACCCCAGCCTCAAAGCTCTGAAGGTCAGGCCATTTCTAGTCCCATGGATTCTGGACAAGAGCTGTTCAGCTAGGACTCCTTGGGTCTTAGCTGCCCACCATGGCATCACCAGTGCACCATCTAGTTTTCCTGGTAACCATTCGGCCCCACAAACAGTTTGTGTGTGGTGATTCCGAAGGTGGCACTTCTGGGACGGGCGAGGAGCTGGACCGAAGACATGAGATGCACTCACACGCAGTAGCGAGGCTCTCCCTGTGCCAACTACAGCACAGGCGATGTGGCCTGTGGAGGTCTCTGCACCAAGTACTGGTTCTGGATTTGTCCCCTGAAGCCCACAGTCTTGAGCTGCGCCTGTTTCTGTCATTAAGAGCTGTGACCTGTGACTGGTGAGTAGCAGCCCTGCAGCAGACATGGGGACTTTGTGCCAGCCCCAGTGTGGGAGCTGAGGCCAGCATCTGCCTGGGCTGGTGGTCAGACTGGCTGGGCAGCAATGGGCGCAACCCGGGGGACTGGTGTGGATCCCTGCCTGAGTGCACCCATGGGCCAGCGCTGGCTTCTCCCCCTAGAAGCCTGTGCGCCAGGCAGCGTGACTCTGCACTGGCACTCTCTGCGGTGATCTCTCTGAAGTGACCATAACTGGAACTTTCCAGCCTGACCTAACTGGGCTTTTCCCTCTAATGCTACAAGAAAAGGGATGTGGAGCAAAGGGACAGTCACAGTATGATTTTAATTGTGTTCCAGGACGACAAGACGCTTCCCAGAAGGGCCAGCTCAGCAGTGGCAAATGCAGGCCAGGGCAGGAGAAGGTTCCAGAAGGCTCTGCTGGCCCTACTTGGTCCAGCTGACTTTGGGGATGTCGTAGTGCTCGGTGAGGGTGTCCAGGTGCCGGTTGAAGTCCTGGGGAACAGAGATGCCCTGTCACCTGAGCCGGGCAGGAAGCCAGGGATGATGGCATAGTGGTGCCCATCTCCTAGCCCGTGTGTCCTGGTTGATGTCCCTGCCCTGTTGCCACTTGTCCCAGCCCATGAGTCAGCCCAGTCTCCCGACCCCCAGGGGCTCCACCACAACTCACCTCCACACGCTGCTTGTGGGTTTTGGATGCTTTCTTCAGGATCCGCTCCATTTGCTGGGGAGAGAGTAACGCATGGTGAGTCAGGCTTGCGTGAGGCAGGGTCCAGGCTGCACCCCTGCAGGTCACCCCAGAGGGAGCCTGGCTCAGTCTATCTACATTCCGGGACCCCTTCTCTCTCTCAGACACAAGCTATCTCTTGCTCAAAACATTCTTCCAAGAAAAAAAAAAAAAAAAAGACAAAGGAACTAGGAAGGGAGGGATCAGGGTAATTGTGATCACAGCTGCTCGACCTACACTGAGGAGTAGCCAGAGCTGTGTGAAGGTTCCTGGCATCCTGCCACATTGCACATGAGTGGGAACAGGACCGCCTGGATCTGACCATTATGCATTACAGAGCCGTGTCAATGCGTACCAATCCTGCAACCCATAGATGAGGCCAGAGATTTAGCTTTTTAAAAACTTGATTTAAAGAGTTAAAATGACCTGGACCATTTCTCCCAATTTGACTGACCATGGAAGTCACTGTCTCTGACCCTGATGACACCAGCTCAGCCTGGGACTGAGTCAGGAGGGACCCTGGCAGAGGCACAGCTCGGGGTGGGAGGCCCTGAGCTTCATCTGAAGAAAAGGCAGCGGTGCCCAGCACATGCAGAAGCCACTTAGGCTCTGCACTCACTGCCTGGGGACTCGGCTGGCTCTATTGGCCCCACCATTGTGCTGTCCAGGCTGACACTGAGTAGGCCCTGGGCCCCGTGAATTCAACAAAGTGCAGGCTGAAGCCACTACGACATCCCCAAAGTCACGCAAAGTGCCTCAGCCTCCCGAGTGCTGGGGTGGCTCATGCCTGTAATCCCAGCACCCAGGAAGGTGAAGCAGGAGGATCACTGCGAGTTTGAGGCCAGCCTTAACTAGAGTGAAACTGTGTCTCACAAAAACCAAACCAAACCAAAACACCTGAAACAAATGCAGGGCCAGTTCTGGGACAAGCCAGGGGAGACCCAGAGTTTTGGCTCTGTGCCCTTGGAAGCTGCCACCACATGGGCACCTGAAGGCCCTCCAGGACAAAGAGGACCTGGAGGACTAGACAATGGGTGGGAAGAGACCAGGAACATAGCACTAGGGAACCTGAGACAGCAGAGTCACCTGGGCTGGTCCAGTTCAGTGGGGCCACTGATCTGGCAGCCTCTGCTCCCACTCCAGTGACAGAATCCCAGCCCTTGCTGGGGGTGGCAGTGGGCACCTGTCATCTCAGCACTTAGGAGGCGGTGTGCATTCAAGGACAGCCTGAACTACAGAATAAGACTCTGTCTCCAAAAAAAAAATTTTCCTCCCAAAAAGGTCTGGACGTGTAGTTCAGTGCAAAGTCTACTGGTTCAATCTCCAGTGCCACAAAAAATAAAACAAAACATCTCAGCAACTTTCCACCTCAGGGATCCAAGGGACACAGCAGTCGTTTGTTCTAGCCTCATTGCAAGCCTAGGAGGGAGATGCAGTCCTACTTTTAGTGGATGCAAACCGACCAGTTACTGAGGAGTGGCAGTGGCAGAGATGGTGACATGCAGGGGCGGTCCTGCTGCATGAGTGCACACTGCTTTGCATGTGACTGAATGAGACCTGAGACTAAGTCAACTTTCCTTAGTGTCACCTCTAGGATCACACAGCCTATGGTTAAGGAAGCTCACGCTCTGCACTGTGAACATCCAGGGGACTGCTGCCCTTGCACCGCGTGTGTGCAGCAGTCTCTGGTCTCCATTCACTAGACACCAGCAGCACCCTATTCTGCTGTGAATCCAAAATATCTATAGAATATGCTGGGCGGAGGGAAAAGTCACCCTCAAGCAGAACCGATGGCCTAGACCAAGTCCTCTCTCACTAGCATGACAGGCCTATTAATCAGCAGGACCAGACCTCTGCTCACCACACCACCCAACCACCTTATGAGAAATGCTCGAGTTTGCACCTGGCAGATAAGGTCGCCATGGAAATAGTCTGCATCCCTCAGGATGGCTGGGTACCTGCTCTGCCCTGCCCTGCCCTGGGTCCCTAAAACTTCATCTGCACTGCTTCACCTACCGTGTGGGGAAAGACCCCTCCTGAATCCTGCAGACGGGGACACCGAGGCACGGAGGGGAGGACAAAGCCCAGTGTCGCGCCCGGGGATCAGAGCCCGGGCTGCAGCTCCACAATGAATCTCCCTGGCACCTGGACTCCTCGTGTTCTGATTCCTTCTGGGATCCGCACCCCGCTTCTCCCCGGAACCCGGATCCTCTGTGTCCCGATTCTCCCCCAAACTCGGACCCTCCACGTCCTGATTCTCCCCAGAACCCAGACTTCCCGCGCCTCAGTTCTCTCCGGCACTCGAACTCTTCGCATTCTGACACTCCCCGGAAGCCGGAGCCCCTGCACCCTGATTCTCCCCGCACCCAGCCATCTAACCCGCTTCTCCTGCATCTTCTCAAAGGCCGCTTGCGCCGGCGTCCGCTTGTCCAAGCAGCGCCGCTTCTCCTCCTCGTTCTTTTTGCTTGTCCCCATCGCCTCCAGAAGCTTCGCCTTGTCCTTGTTGTTCTTCTTCTTCTTCCTGGCACAGGAAATGGGAGGGGGCGGGTGAGGTTGACCAAGAGGTGAGGGTCGGGAGTCGGTCTCGGGCGGGGGCCCATCCCGCAGGCCTTACCGCTTGGTCACGCCGAGCTCTGCGACGCCTTTCAGCTTCAGGGGCCCCTTCTGGACCTGTTCATAGGCCTCCATGTAACTAGCCTACGGTTCCCAGCGTACAATGCCACACTTCCTGTTTGCATCGCGTATTTCTGCCCGAAGGCCCGCCTTACGTCTTTCTGATTGGTCGAGCGAGGAGACGCGCGTGAGTCTTTGCGCTCATCCCAAAGCCACATTTCCGGTTTCGTGCGTGGCGGAGAGGAGGGCGTGTGCGCTCCTGCGCTGTTCATCCTGTCTGTTGCTATACTTCCGGTTTTGGCTGTCACTCTGGCTGGCTGGGTGTCTAGGCGGTTTTCTTACAAGCTGATTCTTTTTTTTTTTTTTTTTTTGTCTTTTTGAGGCAGGGTCTCCCTATGAGGTTCAGGCTGACCTTGAGCTCACTTTCCAGCCCAGGCTGGTCTCGAGCACGCAAGGATCCTTCTGCCTCAGCCTCCCGAGTGCTGGGATTACTGGCGTGAGTCACCACGCCCGGCCTACAACCTGATTCTTTAATGAGTGATGCGCTCTCGTTTATTGTTATATTTTGAGCGCTTGGTAGAGGAATGGACTGGATTTTGTAACCTAATCGGTGCTTATTCTTTTTTGTTTTGTTTTTGAGGTAGGGTCTCTCTCTCTGTATTGTAATGCAGGATGGTTTTGTGCACTACGTATCCCTGGTTGGCCTGGACCTCATGGCGATCCTCCAGCCTCAGCCTCCCAAAGGTGCCATCAGACCGTGCGTTACTTTCTTTTCTTTTCTTTTTTTTTTGTCTTTTTCCTTTTTACCGGTACCAGGAATCGAACTCACGACTGCCTCCGTGCAAGGCAGGCGCTTATGCCGCTGAGCTAAATCTCCAGCCCCGTGCATTACTTTCTTTAAAAAATTTTTTGATCATATACAAGTTGTATTATTATTTGAAAAATTTTATTAGTATATGTTTGTGGTAGATAATAACATTCACTTTGAGGAATCAGTACTGCATACATATGGAATCTTGAACGTTACCCTTGGACTTCCTCCTGAGTGAAATGCTTTATCACTGACCAGTCTCTTTCCAGCTTCTTCCTCAGCTCCTAATCACTGTTTTGCTTTCTACTTCAAGGACTTTGAAAATTTTTTTTTTTTTTTTTGAGACAGGGTGTGGCTATGCAGTTGAGGGTGGTCGAGCTCACTTTGTAGCCCAGACTGGTCTTGAATTTGCAACAATTCTGCCTCAGCCTCCCGAGTGCTGGGATTACAGGCATGTGCCACCATACCCAGTGAGTTTAATTTTTAAAAAGTCCACATGTAGACATGTGAGAGAAACTGAGGCACAAACTGATTAAGAAACAGGGCTGATCAGAATTGCAACAAAAATTTCAGGCACACCGGGGTGTGCTCTCAAGTTTTACCAATTTCAAACAAGAGTGAAAGGCACAAACCACAGGTGGATCCCAGTACTCAGGAGGCTGAGGCAGGAGGATCACTACAAGTTTAGGGCCAGCCTGGGCTATCCATTCAGTTCAAGGCAATCCTGGGCTAAGTAGCGAGACCCTATCTCAAAAACAAAACAAAACAGGAAAACCACAGATGATGAGTGGATTATATCAGCTGTTTGTCAACAATTTAGGTCACTGAAGGCAGGGTAGGAAGCTCTGGTGTAAGAAAGAGGTTGGGTCTGGGAGCAGTGGTGCACACCTGGAACCCCAGCTACTTGGGAGGCTGAGATAAGAGGATCACAAGTTCAAGGCCCGTCTAGGTTCAATTCCCAATGCTGGGGGGAAATGTACATAGGTTCTGTTTCTGCTGGGCTTACTTCTGAAGCCTTCAAGTAACTTGAAGCAGAACTGTGGCACCACTTAGGTTTCCCCAGGGAAAAATGTGTGTTCTCAATTCCTCTGGCTTTGAGGCTTCAGCAGAGAAGAGAGTTGCTCGGGTGCTGCATAAAACCTGACTTCCCAGGACCCTGACTTCTGGGACCCAGCAACTTGGTTTTTTATTCCCAACACCAGCATGAGCCAGTTGTTTCTGGAACAAGCAGAATGACCACTGTGATCCAGGCACCATCATAGCTGTCTTTCACCCACTGGTATTAAATATTTTCGAACATGGGTGGCGTCTCCCTCTGGTCCTGCAGCTAATTCCTGAGCTCCTCTCCTTTTTCTGTCCCGTTTAGCAAAGGAGAACTCAGTAGCTGCACCGTGCGTAACTCGATGGGAGAACAGAGGCTCCACGCCCTCGCCGGACAGCTGCACAGGCCAGATTCCAGCCAGAGCCCTGCGTGCCTGGGGTTGAGTTGAGTGCACACACAGAAAGCTGGAAGGGTGGTAACTAGTGGTGAGTAACTAGCAATGGGTAACTGAGGAGAAGTAACTAGTCAGGGGTAACTAGTGATGGGTACCTAGTGTTGAGTAACTGGTAATTGGTAACTCGCAATTGATAACTATCAATAAGTAACTAATAGATACATAACTAGCAATGGGTGACTCATAGGAAGTAACTAATGGTGAGTAACTGGTGATGAGTAACTAGCAATGGGTAACTAATGATTGGTAACCAGCCACAAGTAACTAGTGATAGATAATAGTAATAGCAGTGAGTAACCAGTGGGGTAACTAGTGATGAGTACCTATCGATGTGTAACTAATAAGGGCAACTAGCAATTTGACTAGTAATGGATGACTACTGAGGGTAACTAGCAATGCATAAGCTCACTGAGTTTCACTGGCACTGGGCCTGACTTCCTGTCCTCTGGCCACCATCAGAGGTCCTGTCCCACTCCTACTCAACACCCCCAGTAGTTCTGTCCTGGGGCAGAACTTGACAGGAGAGCAGCAGCTCCTCACCCTCCCTCAGCAGCTGCACAAAGGAAGAGGGGCCCGGGCCAGACAAACCCCTCGTGTCCCTGGGATGTTTAAGGAAGGATGAGAGACAGATGTGGTGGGGCTCACCTGCCATCCCAGCCTCAGGATGCTGAGGTAGGAGGGTCACTGTGTGTTGGAGGGCAGCCTGGGCTACATAGTGAGTTCAAGGCCAGCCTAGTCTCAAAAAAAAAAAAAAAAAAAAAAAAAAAAAAAAAGGAGGAAAAAGAGAATAAGGTAATTTGTGTGTGTGTGTGTGTGTGTGTGTGTGTGTGTGTGTGTACCAGGGGTCAGACCTGGGGCCTTTGCACAGATAACATCCCCAATGCTAAACATCTACTTTTGAGACAAAGTCTCCCTAACTTGCCCAGGCTGGGCTCCGACTTGTCATCCTCCTGCATCAGCTTCTCCAGCAGCTGGGAATAAAATTCTCGGTTCTTGCTGGTTCCAGCTGATCCTCCTCTGTGGCTGGTTCTCCACGTTTCCAGCACAGGAAGGCCAAGAGCAAGGCCCCCCACCCCACCCCGGCTTGGGGCGCTCTGGGTGGAGCAGGGGAACCTCCTCCCTCGCTCCTCTCAGCAGCTGGTCTCAGCCACAGGTGGGCACCCTGCTCTCTAGGTGTTCCCAGATCCTCCCCCAGCCCTGCTTGGCCTGCTCAGTGCACTGGGGCCTCTTGGCTTGGTGGTACCTCATTGGGCGGGACCAAGGCAGCTGTGCCAGCACAGCCTGCTGCCTTGGGCTCTCTGCATTGCCCAGGAAATGCACACAGGCCCCACAGTGCCCTGGCTCTGGCGCCGTAGCCATGCCATGTGTCCTACCTGTCCCCTGCCCTCCACTCTTGTGTGGGCCCAACCTGGGCCTCTGGGCGACCTGAGAGCTAGGAGCTGATCCACACCCCTCACCTGGTCTGGTGGTGGTGGGGACAGCTCACCCTCTGCCTCCCGGAAGGAGGGGACCTTCAGGGTGGCCACCTCACCCTCCACACATGCATGGTCTCCTCTGCAAGGCCTCCCGTTCTCTGATCTCCCCTTACATGGCTGGCCTGGCTGAGACAGTAAGAGCAGGAGGAAGCTTCTGGAACCCAAGAGCTGTGTGAATATTCAAGGAAGCCTCCCTCATACTCTGTCCTACTGTGTTTGGGACACAAGTGGTTCCCCAAGGACCTGCATGTGCAAGGCTCCACCCAGGGCAGCCATATTGGGAAGCACCTGGAATCTATAGGGGCTGGGAGGGGGTGGTTAGCCTCAGTCTCCCAGCCATCCTCCTGCCTCAGCCTCCTGAGTGGCTGGGCTCACAGGAGTGTGCCACCATGCTCAGCCGTGCATTTCACTTCTGACAGCTGTTGTCCAAATTGTGTCAAGGGAAGTTTTTTGATAGGGGAGTAGAAGGAGGAAGAGAAAGAGGAGGAGAAAGAGGAGGAGGAGCTTGGGAAAATAATGGAAACCATGGGCACATAAAATAGGAAAGAAATGGAATCTGTGAAACAGATTCAAACATATCTAGGAGACTGAAAATTCCATTGAAAATATGTGCAACTGAACGAGCCAATGTGAGGACAGAATTTCAGATACAGAAGACAGGACCGTGGTTAGTGATCAGGCAAAGAAAGATTTCTTAAAAATGGCCAGAGACCATGAGAAATCGACCCACAGCTGCTAGATGAAGCATAAAAAAAACCAAGATTGGCCAGAGGTTTAACTCAGTGATACAACTGCCTGCCTGGCAAGCTCAAGGTCATGAGTTCGATCCCTGGTACTCCCATCCTCACAAAAATGTAAGCTTGAGCAGAATCAATGAAAAAGCAGGACATAATGCAAATGACATAAAAAACTGTTTAAAAGAGTCATAGCAGAAAACTTCAAAAGTATGGAAAAAGAATTTGACATACAGACAAATATGGCATATAGAACTCTAATTAGCCATGATAAAAAATCTACTCCAAGGCATGTAATAGGATTCTGTAAGGAAGGGAAGAGGGTTTGAAGGGATGGGAGAGAGAAAGGAAAAAAAGAAGATGCAAGATATATCATGTATAGGCACAAACTTGCTCTGATGAATGTTATCATTTTATATATCTAAAATGTACCAATAAAATAAAAATTCACAAGATTCTAGAAATTCAGCATAAGAACAGAATGTTAAAAATTGTTAGAGAGTCGGGCTCAGTGGCGCATGCTCATAATCCCAGCACTCAGGAGGCTGAGGCAGGAGAATTGTTGTGAGTTTGAAACCAGCCTGGGCTACAAAGGGAGCTCAAGGCCAGCCTGACCTGCATAGTGAGCCCTGTCTCAAAAAGACAAAAAAATTAGAGA